AGTGAGTGGTGAGTGAGTGGTGAGTGAGTGGTGAGTGAGTGGTGAGTGATCCTCACCTATGGACTGGTTCACTGACTTCATACACAAGTTCTCACAGAGCGAGCTGGGTGAGTGAGTGGTGAGTGAGTGGTGAGTGAGTGGTGAGTGAGTGGTGAGTGAGTGGTGAGTGAGTGGTGAGTGATCCTCACCTATGGACTGGTTCACTGACTTCATACACAAGTTCTCACAGAGCGAGCTGGGTGAGTGAGTGGTGAGTGAGTGGTGAGTGAGTGGTGAGTGAGTGGTGAGTGATCCTCACCTATGGACTGGTTCACTGACTTCATACACAAGTTCTCACAGAGCGAGCTGGGTGAGTGAGTGGTGAGTGAGTGGTGAGTGAGTGGTGAGTGAGTGGTGAGTGAGTGGTGAGTGATCCTCACCTATGGACTGGTTCACTGACTTCATACACAAGTTCTCACAGAGCGAGCTGGGTGAGTGAGTGGTGAGTGAGTGGTGAGTGAGTGGTGAGTGAGTGGTGAGTGATCCTCACCTATGGACTGGTTCACTGACTTCATACACAAGTTCTCACAGAGCGAGCTGGGTGAGTGAGTGGTGAGTGAGTGGTGAGTGAGTGGTGAGTGAGTGGTGAGTGAGTGGTGAGTGATCCTCACCTATGGACTGGTTCACTGACTTCATACACAAGTTCTCACAGAGCGAGCTGGGTGAGTGAGTGGTGAGTGAGTGGTGAGTGAGTGGTGAGTGAGTGGTGAGTGATCCTCACCTATGGACTGGTTCACTGACTTCATACACAAGTTCTCACAGAGCGAGCTGGGTGAGTGAGTGGTGAGTGAGTGGTGAGTGAGTGGTGAGTGATCCTCACCTATGGACTGGTTCACTGACTTCATACACAAGTTCTCACAGAGCGAGCTGGGTGAGTGAGTGGTGAGTGAGTGGTGAGTGAGTGGTGAGTGAGTGGTGAGTGATCCTCACCTATGGACTGGTTCACTGACTTCATACACAAGTTCTCACAGAGCGAGCTGGGTGAGTGAGTGGTGAGTGAGTGGTGAGTGAGTGGTGAGTGAGTGGTGAGTGAGTGGTGAGTGATCCTCACCTATGGACTGGTTCACTGACTTCATACACAAGTTCTCACAGAGCGAGCTGGGTGAGTGAGTGGTGAGTGAGTGGTGAGTGAGTGGTGAGTGAGTGGTGAGTGAGTGGTGAGTGAGTGGTGAGTGATCCTCACCTATGGACTGGTTCACTGACTTCATACACAAGTTCTCACAGAGCGAGCTGGGTGAGTGAGTGGTGAGTGAGTGGTGAGTGAGTGGTGAGTGAGTGGTGAGTGATCCTCACCTATGGACTGGTTCACTGACTTCATACACAAGTTCTCACAGAGCGAGCTGGGTGAGTGAGTGGTGAGTGAGTGGTGAGTGAGTGGTGAGTGAGTGGTGAGTGAGTGGTGAGTGATCCTCACCTATGGACTGGTTCACTGACTTCATACACAAGTTCTCACAGAGCGAGCTGGGTGAGTGAGTGGTGAGTGAGTGGTGAGTGAGTGGTGAGTGAGTGGTGAGTGAGTGGTGAGTGATCCTCACCTATGGACTGGTTCACTGACTTCATACACAAGTTCTCACAGAGCGAGCTGGGTGAGTGAGTGGTGAGTGAGTGGTGAGTGAGTGGTGAGTGAGTGGTGAGTGAGTGGTGAGTGAGTGGTGAGTGATCCTCACCTATGGACTGGTTCACTGACTTCATACACAAGTTCTCACAGAGCGAGCTGGGTGAGTGAGTGGTGAGTGAGTGGTGAGTGAGTGGTGAGTGAGTGGTGAGTGAGTGGTGAGTGATCCTCACCTATGGACTGGTTCACTGACTTCATACACAAGTTCTCACAGAGCGAGCTGGGTGAGTGAGTGGTGAGTGAGTGGTGAGTGAGTGGTGAGTGAGTGGTGAGTGATCCTCACCTATGGACTGGTTCACTGACTTCATACACAAGTTCTCACAGAGCGAGCTGGGTGAGTGAGTGGTGAGTGAGTGGTGAGTGAGTGGTGAGTGATCCTCACCTATGGACTGGTTCACTGACTTCATACACAAGTTCTCACAGAGCGAGCTGGGTGAGTGAGTGGTGAGTGAGTGGTGAGTGAGTGGTGAGTGAGTGGTGAGTGATCCTCACCTATGGACTGGTTCACTGACTTCATACACAAGTTCTCACAGAGCGAGCTGGGTGAGTGAGTGGTGAGTGAGTGGTGAGTGAGTGGTGAGTGAGTGGTGAGTGAGTGGTGAGTGATCCTCACCTATGGACTGGTTCACTGACTTCATACACAAGTTCTCACAGAGCGAGCTGGGTGAGTGAGTGGTGAGTGAGTGGTGAGTGAGTGGTGAGTGAGTGGTGAGTGAGTGGTGAGTGAGTGGTGAGTGATCCTCACCTATGGACTGGTTCACTGACTTCATACACAAGTTCTCACAGAGCGAGCTGGGTGAGTGAGTGGTGAGTGAGTGGTGAGTGAGTGGTGAGTGAGTGGTGAGTGATCCTCACCTATGGACTGGTTCACTGACTTCATACACAAGTTCTCACAGAGCGAGCTGGGTGAGTGAGTGGTGAGTGAGTGGTGAGTGAGTGGTGAGTGAGTGGTGAGTGAGTGGTGAGTGATCCTCACCTATGGACTGGTTCACTGACTTCATACACAAGTTCTCACAGAGCGAGCTGGGTGAGTGAGTGGTGAGTGAGTGGTGAGTGAGTGGTGAGTGAGTGGTGAGTGAGTGGTGAGTGATCCTCACCTATGGACTGGTTCACTGACTTCATACACAAGTTCTCACAGAGCGAGCTGGGTGAGTGAGTGGTGAGTGAGTGGTGAGTGAGTGGTGAGTGAGTGGTGAGTGAGTGGTGAGTGAGTGGTGAGTGATCCTCACCTATGGACTGGTTCACTGACTTCATACACAAGTTCTCACAGAGCGAGCTGGGTGAGTGAGTGGTGAGTGAGTGGTGAGTGAGTGGTGAGTGAGTGGTGAGTGAGTGGTGAGTGAGTGGTGAGTGATCCTCACCTATGGACTGGTTCACTGACTTCATACACAAGTTCTCACAGAGCGAGCTGGGTGAGTGAGTGGTGAGTGAGTGGTGAGTGAGTGGTGAGTGAGTGGTGAGTGAGTGGTGAGTGAGTGGTGAGTGATCCTCACCTATGGACTGGTTCACTGACTTCATACACAAGTTCTCACAGAGCGAGCTGGGTGAGTGAGTGGTGAGTGAGTGGTGAGTGAGTGGTGAGTGAGTGGTGAGTGATCCTCACCTATGGACTGGTTCACTGACTTCATACACAAGTTCTCACAGAGCGAGCTGGGTGAGTGAGTGGTGAGTGAGTGGTGAGTGAGTGGTGAGTGAGTGGTGAGTGAGTGGTGAGTGAGTGGTGAGTGATCCTCACCTATGGACTGGTTCACTGACTTCATACACAAGTTCTCACAGAGCGAGCTGGGTGAGTGAGTGGTGAGTGAGTGGTGAGTGAGTGGTGAGTGAGTGGTGAGTGAGTGGTGAGTGAGTGGTGAGTGATCCTCACCTATGGACTGGTTCACTGACTTCATACACAAGTTCTCACAGAGCGAGCTGGGTGAGTGAGTGGTGAGTGAGTGAGTGGTGAGTGAGTGGTGAGTGAGTGGTGAGTGAGTGGTGAGTGATCCTCACCTATGGACTGGTTCACTGACTTCATACACAAGTTCTCACAGAGCGAGCTGGGTGAGTGAGTGGTGAGTGAGTGGTGAGTGAGTGGTGAGTGAGTGGTGAGTGAGTGGTGAGTGAGTGGTGAGTGATCCTCACCTATGGACTGGTTCACTGACTTCATACACAAGTTCTCACAGAGCGAGCTGGGTGAGTGAGTGGTGAGTGAGTGAGTGGTGAGTGAGTGGTGAGTGAGTGGTGAGTGAGTGGTGAGTGATCCTCACCTATGGACTGGTTCACTGACTTCATACACAAGTTCTCACAGAGCGAGCTGGGTGAGTGAGTGGTGAGTGAGTGGTGAGTGAGTGGTGAGTGAGTGGTGAGTGATCCTCACCTATGGACTGGTTCACTGACTTCATACACAAGTTCTCACAGAGCGAGCTGGGTGAGTGAGTGGTGAGTGAGTGGTGAGTGAGTGGTGAGTGAGTGGTGAGTGAGTGGTGAGTGAGTGGTGAGTGATCCTCACCTATGGACTGGTTCACTGACTTCATACACAAGTTCTCACAGAGCGAGCTGGGTGAGTGAGTGGTGAGTGAGTGAGTGGTGAGTGAGTGGTGAGTGAGTGGTGAGTGAGTGGTGAGTGATCCTCACCTATGGACTGGTTCACTGACTTCATACACAAGTTCTCACAGAGCGAGCTGGGTGAGTGAGTGGTGAGTGAGTGGTGAGTGAGTGGTGAGTGAGTGGTGAGTGAGTGGTGAGTGAGTGGTGAGTGATCCTCACCTATGGACTGGTTCACTGACTTCATACACAAGTTCTCACAGAGCGAGCTGGGTGAGTGAGTGGTGAGTGAGTGAGTGGTGAGTGAGTGGTGAGTGAGTGGTGAGTGAGTGGTGAGTGATCCTCACCTATGGACTGGTTCACTGACTTCATACACAAGTTCTCACAGAGCGAGCTGGGTGAGTGAGTGGTGAGTGAGTGGTGAGTGAGTGGTGAGTGAGTGGTGAGTGATCCTCACCTATGGACTGGTTCACTGACTTCATACACAAGTTCTCACAGAGCGAGCTGGGTGAGTGAGTGGTGAGTGAGTGGTGAGTGAGTGGTGAGTGAGTGGTGAGTGAGTGGTGAGTGAGTGGTGAGTGATCCTCACCTATGGACTGGTTCACTGACTTCATACACAAGTTCTCACAGAGCGAGCTGGGTGAGTGAGTGGTGAGTGAGTGGTGAGTGAGTGGTGAGTGAGTGGTGAGTGATCCTCACCTATGGACTGGTTCACTGACTTCATACACAAGTTCTCACAGAGCGAGCTGGGTGAGTGAGTGGTGAGTGAGTGGTGGGTGAGTGGTGAGTGAGTGGTGAGTGAGTGGTGAGTGATCCTCACCTATGGACTGGTTCACTGACTTCATACACAAGTTCTCACAGAGCGAGCTGCCAGCGTCACGCCCACCCTCACCTCGCTACACGGGGGGGGGGGGGGGGGGGGGGAGGGGGGGGGGGCAGGTGGTGAGGTAGGTGGTGAGGGTACCACGTGACAGGTGAGGTAGGTGGTGAGGTAGGTGGTGAGGGTACCACGTGACAGGTGAGGTAGGTGGTGAGGGTACCACGTGACAGGTGAGGTAGGTGGTGAGGTAGGTGGTGAGGTAGGTGGTGAGGGTACCACGTGACAGGTGAGGTAGGTGGTGAGGTAGGTGGTGAGGTAGGTGGTGAGGGTACCACGTGACAGGTGAGGTAGGTGGTGAGGGTACCACGTGACAGGTGAGGTAGGTAGTGAGGTAGGTGGTGAGGTAGGTGGTGAGGGTACCACGTGACAGGTGAGGTAGGTGGTGAGGTAGGTGGTGAGGTAGGTGGTGAGGGTACCACGTGACAGGTGAGGTAGGTGGTGAGGGTACCACGTGACAGGTGAGGTAGGTGGTGAGGGTACCACGTGACAGGTGAGGTAGGTGGTGAGGTAGGTGGTGAGGGTACCACGTGACAGGTGAGGTAGGTGGTGAGGGTACCACGTGACAGGTGAGGTAGGTGGTGAGGGTACCACGTGACAGGTGAGGTAGGTAGTGAGGTAGGTGGTGAGGTAGGTGGTGAGGGTACCACGTGACAGGTGAGGTAGGTGGTGAGGTAGGTGGTGAGGTAGGTGGTGAGGGTACCACGTGACAGGTGAGGTAGGTGGTGAGGGTACCACGTGACAGGTGAGGTAGGTGGTGAGGGTACCACGTGACAGGTGAGGTAGGTGGTGAGGTAGGTGGTGAGGGTACCACGTGACAGGTGAGGTAGGTGGTGAGGGTACCACGTGACAGGTGAGGTAGGTGGTGAGGTAGGTGGTGAGGGTACCACGTGACAGGTGAGGTAGGTGGTGAGGGTACCACGTGACAGGTGAGGTAGGTGGTGAGGTAGGTGGTGAGGTAGGTGGTGAGGGTACCACGTGACAGGTGAGGTAGGTGGTGAGGTAGGTGGTGAGGTAGGTGGTGAGGGTACCACGTGACAGGTGAGGTAGGCGATCTTCTCCTGCAGCTCCGGGCTTCGAGCGTTCGGGAACGGCATCCCCACCATCACCACGCAGCTGGAGACACGGGGGAGACACGGGGAGACACGGGGAGACACGGGGAGAGAGGGGGAGACACGGGGAGACACGGGGAGACACGGGGAGAGAGGGGGAGACACGGGGAGACACGGGGAGACACGGGGAGACACGGGGAGACATGGGGAGAGAGGGTGAGACACGGGGAGACACGGGGAGACACGGGGAGACACAGTGAGACACGGGGAGACACGGGGAGACACAGGGAGACACAGTGAGACACGGTGAGACACAGGGAGACACGGGGAGAGAGGGGGAGACACGGGGAGACACGGGGAGACACGTGGAGACACGGGGAGACACGGGGAGACACGGGGAGACACGGGAGACACGTGGAGACACGGGGAGACACGGTGAGACACGGTGAGACACAGGGAGACACGGGGAGACACAGGGAGACACAGTGAGACACGGTGAGACACAGGGAGACACGGGGAGACACGGGGAGACACGGGGAGAGAGGGTGAGACACGGAGAGACACGGAGAGAGAGGGGGAGACACGGAGAGACACGGGGAGACACGGGGAGACACAGGGAGACACAGGGAGACACGGTGAGACACGTAGAGACACGTAGAGACACGGGGAGACACGGGGAGACACGGGGAGACACGGGGAGACACGGGGAGACACGGGGAGAGAGGGGGAGACACGGGGAGAGAGGGTGAGACACGGGGGAGACACGGGGAGACACGGGGAGACACGGGGAGACACGGGGAGACACGGGGAGACACGGGGAGAGAGGGTGAGACACGGGGGAGACACGGGGAGACACGGGGAGACACGGGGAGACACGGGGAGAGAGGGTGAGACACGGGGGAGACACGGGGAGACACGGGGAGACACAGTGAGACACGGTGAGACACGTGGAGACACGGGGAGACACAGGGAGACACAGGGAGACACACGGAGACACGGGGAGAGACAGGGAGACACGGGGAGACACGGGGAGACACGGGGAGACACAGGGAGACACACGGAGACACGGGGAGAGACAGGGAGACACGGGGAGACACGGGGAGACACGGGGAGACACGGGAGACACGTGGAGACACGGGGAGACACGGTGAGACACAGGGAGACACGGGGAGACACGGGGAGACACAGGGAGACACAGGGAGACACACGGAGACACGGGGAGAGACAGGGAGACACGGGGAGACACGGGGAGACACGGGGAGACACAGGGAGACACGGGAGACACGTGGAGACACGGGGAGACACGGTGAGACACAGGGAGACACGGGGAGACACGGGGAGACACAGGGAGACACAGGGAGACACACGGAGACACGGGGAGAGACAGGGAGACACGGGGAGACACGGGGAGACACGGGGAGACACGGGGAGAGACGGCGAGAGACACGGTGAGACACGGGGAGACACGGGGGAGACACGGGGAGACACGGGGAGACACGGAGAGACACGGGGGAGACACGGGGAGACACGGGGGAGACACGGGGAGACACGGGGAGACACAGGGAGACACAGGGAGACACACGGAGACACGGGGAGACACGGTGAGACACGGTGAGACACGGGGGAGACACGGGGGAGACACGGGGAGACACGGGAAGACACGGGGAGACACGGGGAGACACGGGGAGATACGGAGACACGGGGAGACACGGGGAGACACGGGGAGACACGTGGAGACACGGGGAAACACGGGGAGAGAGGGGGAGACACGGGGAGAGACGGGGAGACACGGGGGAGACACGGGGAGACACGGGGAGACACAGGGAGACACAGGGAGCCACACGGAGACACGGGGAGACACGGTGAGACACGGTGAGACACGGGGGAGACACGGGGGAGACACGGGGAGACACGGGGAGACACGGGGAGACACGGGGAGACACGGAGACACGGGGAGACACGGGGAGACACGGGGAGACACGTGGAGACACGGGGAAACACGGGGAGAGAGGGGGAGACACGGGGAGAGACGGGGAGACACGGGGAGACACGGGGAGACACGGGGAGAGACGGGGAGACACGGGGAGACACAGGAGACACGGGGAGACACGGGGAGAGAGGGGGAGACACGGGGAGACACGGGGAAACACGGGGAGACACGGGGAGAGAGGGGGAGACACGGGGAGACACGGGGGAGACACGGGGGAGACACGGGGAGACACGGGGAGACACGGGGAGACACGGGGGAGACACGGGGAGACACAGGGAGACACGCGGAGGGGGAGACACGGGGAGACACGGGGGAGACACGGGGAGACACGGGGAGACACGGAGAGAGAGGGTGAGACACGGAGAGACACGGAGAGACACGGAGAGACACGGGGAGAGAGGGGGAGACACGGGGAGACACGGGGAGACACGGAGAGAGAGGGTGAGACACGGAGAGACACGGGGAGACACGGGGAGACACGGGGAGACACGGGGAGACACAGGGAGACACGGGGAGACACGGGGAGACACAGGGAGACACGGTGAGACACGGGGAGACACGGTGAGACACGGGGAGACACGGGGAGACACGGGGAGACACGGGGAGACACGGGGAGACACGGGGAGACACAGGGAGACACGGGGAGAGAGGGTGAGACACGGAGAGACACGGGGAGAGAGGGTGAGACACGGGGAGACACGGGGAGAGAGGGGGAGACACGGGGAGACACGGGGAGACACGGAGAGAGAGGGGGAGACACGGAGAGACACGGGGAGACACGGGGAGACACGGGGAGACACGGGGAGACATAGGGAGACACGGGGAGACACGGGGAGACACAGGGAGACACGGTGAGACACGGGGAGACACGGTGAGACACGGGGAGACACGGGGAGACACGGGGAGACGCGCGGAGACACGGGGAGACACGGGGAGACACAGGGAGACACGGGGAGAGAGGGTGAGACACGGAGAGACACGGGGAGAGAGGGTGAGACACGGGGAGACACGGGGAGAGAGGGGGAGACACGGGGAGAGACGGGGGAGACACGGGGAGACACGGGGAGACACGGGGAGACACGTGGAGAGACGGGGAGAGAGGGGGAGACACGGTGAGACACGGTGAGACACGGGGAGACACGTGGAGAGACGGGGAGACACGGGAAGAGAGGGGGAGACACGGTGAGACACAGGGAGACACGGTGAGACACGGTGAGACACGGGGAGACACGGGGAGACACGGTGAGACACAGGAGACACGGGGAGACACGGGGAGACACGGGGAGACACGGGGAGACACGGGGAGAGACGGGGAGACACAGGGAGACACGGGGAGAGAGGGTGAGACACGTAGAGACACGGAGAGACACGCGGAGACACGGGGAGACACGGTGAGACACGGGGAGACACGGGGAGACACGGGGAGACACGGTGAGAGAGGGTGAGACACGGGGAGACACGGGGAGAGAGGGTGAGACACGGAGAGACACGGGGAGAGAGGGGGAGACACGGGGAGACACAGGGAGACACGGGGAGACACGGGGAGACACGGGGAGACACGTGGAGAGACGGGGAGACACGGGGAGACACGGGGAGAGAGGGTGAGACACGGAGAGACACGGGGAGACACGGGGAGACACGGGGAGACACGGGGAGACACGGAGACACATGCAGACACGTGAAGACACGTGGAGACACGTGAAGACACGTGGAGACACGTGGAGACACGTGGAGACACGTGAAGACACGGGGAGACACGTGGAGACACGTGGAGACACGGGGAGACACGTGGGGACACGTGAAGACACGTGGAGACACTGTGAAGACACGTGGAGACACTGTGAAGACACGTGGAGACACGAGGAGACACGTGGAGACACGTGGAGACACGTGGAGACACGTGGAGACACGAGGAGACACGTGGAGACACGGGGAGACACGAGGAGACACGTGGAGACACTGTGAAGACACGGGGAGACACGTGGAGACACTGTGATGACACGTGGAGACACGCGGAGACACGTGGAGACACGTGGAGACACGAGGAGACACGTGGAGACACACGTGGAGACACGGTGAGACACGGGGAGACACGGTGAGACACGTGGAGACACTGTGATGACACTGTGATGACACGTGGAGACACGTGAAGACACGTGAAGACACGTGGAGACACGAGGAGACACGTGGAGACACACGTGGAGACACGGTGGAGACACGTGGAGACACGGTGAGACACGTGAAGACAGGAGGAGACACGTGGAGACACGTGGAGACACGTGGAGACACGAGTGTGTGTGTGTGTGGTCCCCACCGGCCCAGGTGGTCTGAGAAGTTGATGCCCTCGCTCATCTTGCCTCCAACCACGGCGAGGAGAAGCGCCCCTCCAGCTGACGCTCCCGCCTCACGGAGACACGGAGACACGGAGACAGAGACACGGAGACACGGTCACACGGAGACAGAGACACGGAGACAGAGACACGGTCACATGGAGACACGGAGACAGAGACACGGTCACACAGAGACATGGAGACAGAGACACGGAGACACGGTCACACGGAGACACGGAGACAGAGACACGGTCACACGGAGACACGGAGACACGGAGACAGAGACACGGAGACACGGAGACACGGTCACACGGTCACACGGAGACACGGAGACACGGAGACACGGAGACAGAGACAGGGTCACACGGAGACACGGAGACAGAGACACGGTCACACGGAGACAGAGACACGGAGACACGGAGACAGAGACACGGTCACACGGAGACACGGAGACAGAGACACGGTCACACGGAGACACGGAGACAGAGACACGGTCACACAGAGACACAGTGACACAGAGACACAGAGACACAGTCACATAGAGATACAGTGACACAGAGACACGGAGACACGGAGAGACACAGAGACACAGAGACACAGTGACACAGAGACACAGTGACACAGACACAGTGACACAGAGACACAGAGACACAGAGACACAGTGACACAGTGACACAGAGACAGAGACACATAGACACAGTGACACAGAGACACAGTGACACATAGACACAGTGACACAGAGACACAGAGACACAGTGACACAGAGACACACTCACACAGAGACACAGAGACACAGAGACACAGTGACACAGAGACACAGAGACACAGTCACACAGAGACACAGAGACACGGTCACAAGGAGACACGGAGACAGAGACACGGAGACAGACACGGTCACACGGAGACACGGAGACACACTCGTACAGAGACACAGATACAGTCACATAGAGACACAGAGACACAGTGAGACATAGAGACATACAGACACAGAGACACGGAGACACGGTCACACAGAGACACAATGACACAGAGACACAGTCACATAGAGACACAGTGACACAGTGACACAGAGACACAGTGACACAGTGACACAGAGACACAGAGACACAGTGACACAGAGAGACAGAGACACAGTGACACAGTGACACGGAGACACGGAGACAGAGACACGGTCACACGGAGACACGGAGACACATTCATACAGAGACACAGATACAGTCACATAGAGACACAGAGACACAGAGACATAGAGACACAGAGACACAGAGACACAGTGACACAGTGACACAGAGACACAGTGACACAGAGACACAGAGACACAGTGACACAGTGACACAGAGACACAGTGACACAGAGACACAGAGAAACAGTGACACAAAGACACAGAGACACAGTGACACAGTGACACAGAGACACAAACACACAGAGACACAGTGACACAGAGACACAGATACACAGCGACACAAAGACACAGAGACACAGTGACACAGAGACACAGAGACACAGTGACACAGTGACACAGAGACATGGAGATACGGAGACACAGTGACACAGAGACACAGAGACACAGAGACACAGTGACACAGTGACACAGTCACACAGAGACACAGATACACAGACACAGAGACACAGAGACACAGGCACAGTGACACAGAGACACAGTGACACAGAGACACAGAGACACAGTGACACAGAGACACAGAGACACAGACACAGTGACACAGAGACACGGTCACAAAGAGACACAGAGACACAATGACACAGAGACACAGTCACACAGAGACACAGTGACACAGAGACACAGAGACACAGTGACACAGAGACACAGTGACACAGAGACACAGAGACACAGTGACACAGAGACACAGTGACAGAGACACAGTGACAGAGAGACACAGTGACACAGTGACACACACAGAAACACAGTGACACAGAGACACAGAGACACGGAGACACAGAGACACAGAGACACAGTGACACAGAGACACAGTGACACAGTGATACAGAGACACAGTGACATAGATACACAGTGACACAGTGACACGGTCAACACAAAGATACAGAGACCACTCCTCCATTCACTGAACTCACCCACCCAAACATGAACTCACCGACCCAGACACCCACCCACTCACCCAGTCACCCACCCACCCACTCACCCAGCCACCCACTCACCCACTCACCCAGTCACCCACTCACCAACCTACCCAGTCACCCACTCACCAACCTACCCAGTCACCCACTCACCAACCTACCCAGTCACCCACCCACCCACTCACCCATTCACTCACCCACCCACCCACACACTCACCCACCTACTCACCCAGTCACCCACTCACCAACCCACCCAGTCACCCACCCACCCACTCACCCAGTCACCCACCCACTCACCCAGTCACCCACCCACTCACCAGCTCACCAACCTACCCCACTCATTCACCCACCAACCCTTTCGCCCACCCACCCACCTACTCACCCACTCACACACTCACCCAACCACTCACCCACTCACTCACTTACTCAATCACCCACCCACCCACCTACTCACCCACTCACCCACCCACTCACCCACACAATCACCCACCCACCCACTCATTCCCCCACCAACCCACTCGCCCACCCACCCACCTACTCACCCACTCACCCACTCACCCACTCACTCACTCAACCATCCACTCGCCCGCCCACCCACTCACTCGCCCACTCAATCACCCGCCCACTCACTCGCTCGCCCGCCCACCCACCCACTCACTCGCCCACCCACCCACTCACTCACCCACCCACCATCGCCATCTCTGGGCTAACACCACACCACCATCACCACTGTGTGAGTTGTGTGGAGGCTGAGTGATTGTCATTGGTGAAGGTGGTGGCTGTGATGGTGATGATGGTGGTGATGGTGGTGATGGTGATGATGTTGGTGATGGTGGTGATGATGATGTTGGTGATGGTGGTGATGATGATGGTGGTGATGGTGGTGATGATGATGGTGGTGATGGTGGTGATGATGGTGGTGGTGATGATGGTGATGGTGGTGGTGATTATGTTGGTGGTGATGTTGGTGATGATAGTGATGGTGGTAATGGTGATGATGTTGGTGATGGTGTTGGTGATGATGATGTTGGTGATGGTGGTGATGATGATGGTGGTGATGGTGGTGATGATGATGGTGGTGATGGTGATGATGGTGGTGATGGTGGTGATGGTGGTAATGGTGATGATGTTGGTGATGGTGGTGATGATGATGTTGGTGATGGTGGTGATGGTGGTGATAGTGGTGGTGATGGTGATGTTGGTGATGGTGGTGATGGTGATGATGGTGATGTTGGTGGTGGTGATGATGGTGATGGTGGTGATGGTGGTGGTGGTGATGATGTTGGTGGTGATGGTGGTGATGGTGGTGAAGATTGTTGATGGTGGTGATGATGATGGTAATGATGTTGTTGGAGGTGATGGCGACTGTGATGATGATGGTGACTGTGATGTTGGTGATGGTGGTGGTGATGGTGGTGATGATGATGATGGTGGTGATGATGATGATGGTGGTGATGATGATGATGGTGGTGATGGTGGTGGTGATGATGGTGATGATAATGATGTTGTTGGAGGTGATGGTGACTGTGATGATGATGATGGTGACTGTGATGTTGGTGATGGTGGTGGTGATGGTGGTGATGGTGGTGATGGTGGTGGTGATGATGGTGGTGGTGATGGTGATGACTGTGATGGTGGTGATGTTGGTGATGTTGGTGGTGGTGATGATGGTGACTGTGATGATGGTGATGTTGGTGACTGTGATGGTGGTGATGTTGGTGATGTTGCTGATGGTGGTGGTGATGGTAATGTTGGTGGTGGTGATGATGGTGACTTGATGTTGGTGATGGTGGTGATGGTCGTAATGGTGATGATGTTGGTGATGTTGGTGACTGTGATGTTGGTGATGATGGTGGTGGTGATGGTGGTGATGATGATGATGATGGTGACTGTGATGATGGTGATGGTGACTGTGATGTTGGTGATGGTGGTGGTGATGGTGGTGGTGGTGATGTTGGTGATGGTGGTGGTGGTGGTAATGGTGATGTTGGTGATGGTGGTGATTATGATGTTGGTGATGGTGATGTTGGTGACTGTGATGTTGGTGACTGTGATGTTGGTGGTGATGGTGGTGGTGGTGATAGTGGTGGTGACTGTGATGTTGGTGATGTTGGTGATGTTAGTGATGGTGATGATGGTGATGTTGGTGATGTTGGTGATGTTGGTGATGGTGATGATGGTGATGTTGGTGATGTTGGTGATGGTGATGTTGGTGATGTTGATGGTGATGTTGGTGATGGTGGTGATGTTGGTGATGTTGGTGATGTTGGTGGTGATGGTGATGGTGGTGATGTTGGTGATGATGGTGATGGTGGTGATGTTGGTGATGTTGGTGGTGATGGTGATGGTGGTGATGTTGGTGATGATGGTGATGGTGATGATGGTGATGTTGTCACTGACGTTTGCGCTGCAGGAGTAAGCTGCCAGGACGCTGTCCACCTCCCTGGCCGACTTGGGCTCCTGAAAGATCTACGGCG